CTTCTTCTTCTTCTTCTTCTTCTTCTTCTTTCTTCTTCTTCTTCTTCTTCTTCTTCTTCTTCTTCTTCTTCTTCTTCTTCTTTTCTTCTTCTTCTTCTTCTTCTCTTCTTCTTCTTCTTCTTCTTCTTCTTCTTCTTCTTCTTCTTTCTTCTTCTTCTTCTTCTTCTTCTTCTTCTTCTTCTTCTTCTTCTTCTTCGTCTTCTTCTTCTTTCTTCTTCTTCTTCTTCTTCTTCTTCTTCTTTCTTCTTCTTCTTCTTCTTCTTCTTCTTCTTCTTCTTCTTCTTCTTCTTCTTCTTCTTCTTCTTCTTTCTTCTTCTTCTTCTTCTTCTTCTTCTTCTTCTTCTTCTTCTTCTTCTTCTTCTTCTTCTTCTTCTTCTTTCTTCTTCTTCTTCTTCTTCTTCTTCTTCTTCTTCTTCTTCTTCTTCTTCTTCTTCTTCTTCTTCTTCTTCTTCTTCTTCTTCTTCTTCTTCTTCTTCTTCTTCTTCTCTTCTTTCTTCTTCTTTCTTCTTCTTCTTCTTCTTCTTCTTCTTCTTCTTCTTCTTCTTCTTCTTCTTCGTCTTCTTCTTCTTTCTTCTTCTTCTTCTTCTTCTTCTTCTTCTTCTTCTTCTTCTTCTTCTTCTTCTTCTTCTTCTTCTTCTTCTTCTTCTTCTTCTTCTTCTTCTTCTTCTTCTTCTTCTTCTTCTTCTCTTCTTCTTCTTCTTCTTCTCTTCTTCTTCTTCTTCTTCTTCTTCTTCTTCTTCTTCTTCTTCTTCTTCTTCTTCTTCTTCTTCTTCTTCTTCTTCTTTCTTCTTCTTCTTCTTCTTCTTCTTCTTCTTCTTCTTCTTCTTCTTCTTCTTCTTCTTCTTCTTCTTCTTCTTCTTCTTCTTCTTCTTCTTCTTCTTCTTCTTCTTCTTCTTTCTTCTTCTTCTTCTTCTTCTTCTTCTTCTTCTTCTTCTTCTTTCTTCTCTTCTCTTCTTCTTCTTCTTCTTCTTCTTCTTCTTCTTTCTTCTTCTTCTTCTTCTTCTTCTTCTTCTTCTTCTTCTTCTTCTTCTCTTCTTCTTCTTCTTCTTCTTCTTCTTCTTCTTCTTCTTCTTCTTCTTCTTCTTCTTCTTCTTCTTTCTTCTTCTTCTTCTTCTTCTTCTTCTTCTTCTTCTTCTTCTTCTTCTTCTTTTCTTCTTCTTCTTCTTCTTCTTCTTTCCCCCTTCTTCTTTCTTCTTCTTCTTCTTCTTCTTCTTCTTCTTCTATCTTCTTCTTTCTTCTTCTTCTTCTTCTTCTTCTTCTTCTTCTTCTTCTTCTTCTTCTTAGTTCTTCTTCTTCTTCTTTCTTCTTCTTCTTCTTCTTCTTCTTCTTCTTCTTCTTCTTCTTCTTCTTCTTCTTCTTCTTCTTCTTCTTCTTCTTCTTCTTCTTCTTCTTCTTCTTCTTCTTCTTCTTCTTCTTCTTCTTCTTCTTCTTCTTTTCTTCTTCTTCTTCTCTTCTTCTTCTTCTTCTTCTTCTTCTTCTTCTTCTTCTTCTTCTTCTTCTTCTTCTTCTTTCTTCTTCTTCTTCTTCTTCTTCTTCTTCTTCTTCTCTTCTTCTTCTTCTTCTTCTTCTTCTTCTTCTTCTTCTTCTTCTTTCTTCTTCTTCTTCTTCTTCTTCTTCTTCTTCTTCTTCTTCTTCTTCCTTCTTCTTCTTCTTCTTCTTCTTCTTCTTCTTCTTCTTCTTCTTCTTCTTCTTCTTCTTCTTCTTCTTCTTCTTCTTCTTCACTTCTTCACTCCTCTTTTACCGCTGTGGGTGTCGAGGGAGATATAAGGTTCTGTTTCTAGCTCTTCTGGCTGCCTCGACCATAGGCACATCGTGCTGTTGTAGAGTTTCTCTGATGTTATCCTTCCATCTTGTTCTTGGTCTACCCCGTGCTCTACGTCATTCTTCTCTTTCCATGTATGCTTTGTATGGTATGGTGTCACAAGGCATTCTCTCTAAGTGGGCAAACCATTTCACTTGCTGTCTTTGTATGTAATCCAGAATTGGTTCTGTGCCGACTTGTTCTCTTATGATCTCATTCCTGATCTTATCTCTTATGGTCACTCCTACAGCCCTTCTCAGACATCTCATTTCCGTGGTTACTAATTTTCTGGTGCGCATGCACCAGGTAAAAATTGCTTACAGTTTTTTTGGGGGGTAACTGTTTTAGTTGTTCTCCATCTTTCCGTTACATAAAACAGTATTGATTTGACATTAGAATTAAAATTTTAAGTTTAGTGTTAGTTTTAGTTTTTTTTTTTTTAACCCTCAACTAATTTCTTAGTGCAATGAAAGCTCCTCTTGCCTTTTGTATTCGTATTTTAATATCTCTATCAGTTCCTCCATCTTTGTCTACATTACTGCCCAAATAGATACATGACTCCACCGATAGGAGTGGGATACAATTAAGAGGAACAACATAACTATTTACCTGATTTATTCTCATTATCTTTGTTTCCCCCTTATGGATTTGTAGACCTAGTTTTGTGATCTGGCACCAAGCATAATTAATTTATCTCCGATATAATTCCATGAGTGGGACAGAAGAGAAATATCAGCGAAGTACATGCAGATCCTCAAGCTGTTTTGTAGTGGTTCGCTGAATTCCATTCCTCATGTTAGTGTTTGTTCGCAGTAGGATCTAGTTAATGCGCAGTTGTAGTTTTTTAGTTGGTAGATTAGTGAAAACTTATTTGGAAGCTGCGGAGATTTGATTTTACAGACGAATGATGAGAATACCCTGGACAGATTAAAGAAGTAATGAAGATGTTTTGAAAGCAGCTGATTCACGTAGTTGTTGTTGTTGTTATTAATCCAGCGGCGCATGAGCTTTCGCCCTGTGGCCCAGTGGTATGTAGTGGAATTTGCATGTTTCCACAAGCTGTTCTTTTCCTCCGTACAAGATGTTCCACTTGTCTGGTCTCGGAGGGAGTAGCATTTTTCTAGTCTCGCCAAGTTTTGGGCACTCAAAGAGATGGTGTTCAACAGTTTCGTAGGCGTAGTTACATAGCTGGTACTCTGGGGGAGTGTTGTGGCTGAACTGATTCACATAGAGAACTGACTGCCCACATCAGAAGGAGACAGTATACATTCTTTGGTCATGTAATGAAAAGGAGAACACTGGAGTACATCGTGACAGTTGGAAAGTTGGGGTGGGGCAGAGGCAGAGGGAGACCGAGAGAACAGATGCTGGACAGTCTGACACCATGACATGGAGGATCATCTGTGTCAGAGTTAATTCAAAGTACACTAGGCAGAAGGTTGTGCATAGACATGACTACCAACGCCACACGGCATGGACTTTAAGAAGTTATGTGAATGTTATAGAGCTCCATTTTGGGGAAGGACAAAGAATAGACTAACTGCCTCCACCCCACACCCCCACACCCCACTCCGCTCCCAAACTGCATGTTCTTGAATGCGACTAATTAGCGGGGTTTCCTTCGAAGTCAGATTGCATCTGCCTGAGATGCGAGAAATCAACAGTCTGCATACAAACAGGACATGTAAAACGGATGCAGTTCATGGAACAAGACCAAAGTCCAGAAGTTGATGAACAACCAGGACTTTCCGCCGGACTTTACAGCCGGTAAAGACAAACATGCTAATTATTTTCTGTACTGGCAACAACATCTAACATCCGTGAATGAAGAATGTAAAACAAATAACATGAGAATCAACACTGAAAAGACAGAAGTAATGTCAATAGGAAAAAAGAAGACAGATCTAAACATAGCAATAGAATACAAAGGCATTAAACAGGCATCTGAGTTTAAATATCTGGGAACTACATTTACTGAAGATGGGAAATTGGATAAAGAAATTGACATTAGATGTAGTAAAGCAAACCAAGTATTGGGACAGCTAGCTCCCCTCTTACAGCATAGGGCAATCCCAATCAGCACAAAGAGACATCTTATTCAAAGCATATTTATTCCAACTCTGTGCTATCAGTGCCAGACATGGTCACTCACAACAAACCATAAAAGAAAATTAGTAACCACGGAAATGAGATGTCTGAGAAGGGCTGTAGGAGTGACCATAAGAGTTAAGAGCAGGAATGAGATCATAAGAGAACAAGTCGGCACAGAACCAATTCTGGATTACATACAAAGACAGCAAGTGAAATGGTTTGCCCACTTAGAGAGAATGCCTTGTGACACCATACCATACAAAGCATACATGGAAAGAGAAGAAGGACGTAGAGCACGGGGTAGACCAAGAACAAGATGGAAGGATAACATCAGAGAAACTCTACAACAGCACGATGTGCCTATGGTCGAGGCAGCCAGAAGAGCTAGAAACAGAACCTTATATCTCCCCCGACACCCACAGCGGTAAAAGAGGAAGTGAAGAAGAAGAAGAAGAAGTCGTTCTCAATAATTAAGTACTCATAATTAACTGCAGTTATATATTCCACAGATCTCAATTCTAAACCAGACGATCTGCGAGCAAGAATGCATGATCAAGAAAACACACAAAAAACTATGTGACTTAGAAGAACAGGTCAACATGGCCAATGATGAGATTGATCAATTAGAAGAGAAGTAAGCATTTCAACTGAAGTCTAGTGTGTGGGATTGGGGGGGGGGGTGGGGGAGGGGGGGGGGGGGGGGGGTCTGCGTGGTCTCGAGGCATGGTGTCCGCCTCGAGTGCTAGAGGTTCTGGGTTCAATCCACAGTAAGGGCCGGGATTTTTTTCCGTGGACTTGGACTTCTAGTGATACCCCCTGGTCTCTGGACGCCTGTGTGCATTGTTGCGCACCTAAAAAATCCCTTAGCAGTTGGGAAAAGAGTATCGTAAGTATTTAAGGATCCTCACCAGAACTACAGAGCCTGTGCGCTGTGCTGAACTTCTTCGGACTCAGACTTGAGTTAGAAGAAGAACGGAGCTCTTATGGTTCACTACCCATGTGTCATGATGTTGATCCGCTGTTTAAACCTCAAACCTATAATAAGAAGGGCGAAGACAAAAATGAAATCTGAACCTGTTCATGGCGACTGTGGTAGTTACGCAGCACAGTCGTAAAGGCCCTCCTGCCTACACTACAAACGTAGTAAATTAAGACAATAATGGCAGTTTTATAAAAACAAAGAAAGTGAGCACTGAAACGCAAGTATCTTTACAGACAGATGCGGACATTGAAACAAAGGTATAGTTAGAGAACGTTGGAAGTTAGGAAAGAAACAAAGTATTTAATGTTTATTGTTTAATTAGGAATCCACATCACAGTACTCGGGACATTCCCATAGGCGCCTCGCGCCATCTTCAGCAGCAAGCGCAGAGTTCCAATTTCAGTGGTATCACTAGCAGTCTGATTGTATATCCGTCTCACCTTTCCCTTGAGTGCTGATCGTCGTCCCGATCCCCTGGCCACTCCTCGCAGTACCATTCTCTTCAGACCGCGATGAACCATCTTTGCTTCCGCACTGTTACTTCGCTCCCAAAGGAACTTTACAACAGCAGCATGTTTTTCATAAATTCACCACTAAGTTGTGCAGAACCAGCCTGTCTGCCTGTTTATTTCCTAATACACCGGCATATTTTGAGGAAAATATCAAAAGGACGCTAACTACCCGGGACCTCTGAAGCGATGCTTGCCACTCTTCACGGAGCAAATCGTCTCCTACTTCCTCATCATGCTGGTTACAACTGCGACATGTGTGAACAGCTGATTCTCAAGCCAGCGAAAGTCTGCAATGTCTGCATCACCTCCGTTCTAACACTAGTTTTTGCGGTGTCACAGGCCATGCTTTGTTGCACTAAGCGACGTCCATCCATTGTTGCTAAGAACCCCCATGATCTTTCCATCTGGATAGATTATCACAGCACCGAGGCGAAAATGTCATGAATCATATTGTAGAACTGCTAATTCTGCAGCACCGACTGGCCAGTCCCTGCACTCATGGTCTAGTGTGATAAAAACTCTAAACAAGTTTCACTTTTGCTGATCCATTCCTCAGTTCGCCCAATGTTATCAGGCATACCCCCATGTCTGATAACTGTGTCTTATTGTGTCACCCAGGGGTGCCGCGAGCGTATGCCAGGGCGCCGTGGATGTTATCAAGAGTTTTATTTTATCAAATCAACTTGATATATGCGAAAACAGCAGTTTAAATCAGGAATACAGTGAAAGAAGCCAAGAAGATTTCTGGATGCATGTGTATTCAGAAGACAATGCTACTGACAAGGTTGAAGTGCATTTGCAACGTAGGATTGCATAAAAACAGGTACAGCAGCACACTTTCTAGGTCAAGTGATCTAATGGATAAATTAGACTTCCCATAAACAAAAAGGAAATAATTAAAAAAGATTATCCAGACAGTTTCATTTCTCGCATTAAAGAGACCTAAACTTTAAATGTGCACTGTTTTTTCTTCTTTTCCTAAGAATTCGAACAGCTTTACGAGTAAATGTGCTGTGAAAGCGCCGTGGCGAACAAAAGTTTGAGAACCCCTGATAAAGTCTGATAAATACTATTGGTCTTTCAACAGATTACGGGCGGCTAAAGCAGAGATAGAAGTACTGAACAAACGTACCAACAATTACGAGTGTACCATCCAGGATCTGAGGGAGGATCTCTGCAAGGCCAAAGATTGTGTAAATCAGCTATCTTATTTTGTGTAGTCTTACGTCGAAGATCTTTTGTTTACTGATTGTTTACATGAGTGTATTATTTTCCCTTAATCCTGGCTCTTGAACAGTATCCCTTTTATGAAACTAAAATATAAAGGTCATCTACAAATACCCAATGGAAGTCAAAGTCTATATTGAGCTAAGTTGAGTTGAGTCAAGAATTGACATCTCGGCACTCGGGGCATTCCCATGCATTATCCGTCCTCATCTTTAGCAGCCAGAACAGAGTTCCAATACTGATGGTACCTGTCACAATCTGGTTATATGTGCGTCTTGAATTTTCTCTGAGTGTAGTGAGCTGGCCAGACCCTCTGGTTACACCCAGATGCCTCATTCTCTCCAGGCCATAATAATCTTCTATCTCTACTTATTCCGTTGCTTGTTCTTGATGGGCATTGACCACATCTGCCTTGTCATGTATCAATTCACCACCCAGTACTGCGGAGCCAGCCAGTCTGTCTACCTGTTCATTAAACACCACGCCGGCATTGCCTGGAAAAAAAAAGATCTAAAGTATGCTCACTACCCGTGACCTTTGCAGTGAAGCTTGCCACTCTGCTCGAAGCACCCCTGTCTTTACCTTTATCGGCATGCTTTCAGAGTATATATTAAGAAGATGTAGTAAGATGGGACGCCTGTGTGTATCAGCACTGCGCTAAGATTCTTGGGACTCAAGTCTGAGTCACAAGAATCTTAGCGCAGTGCACGAACTGTGTAGCACCGGTGAGGATCCTGAAATACTTTGGGTAGATTTTTAACTCTAAATTTTGCCCGGGAAGCGCCACTAGGCTACGCTTTTCGACTTTCAAATGCCAAGGGATTTTTTACGTGCGCAGGAATATACACGGGCGCCGGGTCTTACTACACAGAGACCAGGGAAAATTACTAGAAGTCCACGTGGAAAAAATCCCAACCTTCACCCCGGGACCAGCACTCGAGGCGGACACCATTCCTGGAGACCACTCAGTCCCCTAAGGAGCAGACCAGCACAATGGTGGTTATAGGAATCAAGGACACTACGTACAAAAACACACGAGGCGGGAACATTTGCCAGGTCTCCCCACCCGCAGAAGACTGCATGCAACTGGCACCTGGCAGGTGTCACCGTTACAGGTTGCCTTATTATAACTTTTTTGGAGGTTGAACGGGGTATCCGCGATCTGCCCTTTTGGTCTGCCGTCAAGTATGAGATGTGTAAACCTCAGGAAGATATTGTAAACCTTTCTGTAGCAGCCCTGAGCGGAGAGACTGACTGATCAATCGAATATTTGTAGCCACCGAACGAATGGTAATAGCGACGTTTTGCAAAAGGACCCCCTAAGCCAGCGGTTCTCAACCTACCGGTCGCGACCTTTCATAGGGGTCGTCTAAGACCATCGGAAAACACATATTCATTGAAGTTATGAAGGAACAAAATTGTTTGGGGGTAGCCACAACATGAGGGAACTGTATTAGAAGGTCGCGGCATTAGGAAGGTTGAGAGCCACTGTGATAGGCTATTCAAATGGCAGTCCGCGGGCCAAATGTGGGCCTCAGAGGCATAGCAAATGGCCGGCGGATTACCTGCCAACTGTATTGTATCAATGTTCTTTCTATGCTGGGGCTTGGTCCTCTGACTCGCAACGATCTCTATTTTCCAACATTTTGGCCCCAGCAAACTTAGTTGAATGGCCCTGCATGATGTTTATTGATGATAAATATTTTGCGTATGAGCATGGTGGCAAAGTGGTTACTGCACTATCTTGACGAGACTGTGTTTCGGTTGAAACCCCAGTTTCGCAGGATTTGTTCATTGATAGTAAAGCTCCGGGAGATCGATTGGGCCGTTTAAAACCAGGTGCCAGTTAATTTAAAGAATTACTTGAGAAGGTACGGCTGTGAGTCCTGGAAATTAATAAACAAACTAAGCAAGTTCTTGAGGCTTAGGTTGTCGTTTTACAAACGCCAATTGTCTTCTGAGGATAAACGAAAATGAAGAAGACTACGTCGACTCTGGTGATAATGGAAAAGATGACGAAGATTATTATTATTTTTATTATTTTTATTATTATTAATAATAAGATAATGATAATGAACGGACTGCGGGCCCTGTGTGACACACGAAGGACACAAAGGGATAATATATGCTTTAGAAATGGAACAATACAGTTGAAAAAACATGAATACAATTTAAAGTAAAAAGTAAAGATCCCTGTTCACGCCTTTAGGCGCATCGGGCACGTGGGAAGAGCACCCATATTTTTACAGACCAATCGGCACGTGGTGGGTAATGTGGTCAACATTTCACCGGCCGTCTTTACTTCCCCTGGAAACACATCCTGGTACCCATTAAAGGCTGGGTTGCCCTACGACGCCCCATACCATGATAAAAATCCACACAGCCAGCAGTGGGTTTCGATCGCGGAACGTTGGAATTACGAGTCGGACTCGCAACGCCCAAGCCACGGACGCCGACAATACAATTGTACTGTAGCGAAAACATTTAAGAGCGTAAAAAGTAAAGTGAAGGACACTTTCCTACGCTTTCAGACCTTTTGGACATATAGGACCTATATTTCATAGACCAATCTACACTTAGTGGGTGGGTAAGGTGGTCAGCATCCCGCGACCGCCTTTACTTCCCATTACTTTACCTGGCACCTATTAAAGGCTGGGGTCAACCTGGGATCCAAGGTCACTTCGATGAAAGTCTGGCTCCGACAGAACCTGAACCTACGACTTTCCGATCCGCAGGCAAGCTTCTCGCCGCTACACCACACCGGCTCCCTTTTGAGACCATAAATAAACTATGAGTGCTTATCAATACCTCATCTGTTTATTATATATTTGAGATCATACATTTCTTTGTTTTTCATAAACACTTTACAAATATGCACTCCTTTACTTTATTTACAGGCAGAATGTTTAGATAATGAGAACAGTAAACTTCAAAATGAAATAGACTGTCTAAGGAAAGAACTGGAACTTAAAGCACACGAGCAGTACAAGTTAGTTGAGTTTGTTCTGTAATGTGTGATCCGACTCTTTTTTTTTTCATTAAAAAGATGGTATAAACTGGTATAAAAGTAAATGTAAAGATCCCTTTTCACACCTTTAGGCACATCGGGCGTATGCAAAGAGCACCCATTTTTTTTTTACAGACCAATCGACACTAGGTGGGTAGTGTGGTCAGAAAAACTCCGGCCGTGTTTACTTCCCCAGCACATACATCCTGGTACCCATTTTAGGCTGGGTCGACCTACGACGCCCATACCATGATAACAATGCACGCAGCCAGCAGTAAACTGGTATAAATATTCATATATCTCTAATCAGAGGGTCTGGCCGGCTCACTACACTCAGAGGAAAGGCAAGACGGATATATAACCAGATTGTGCCGGTACCATCAGTATCGGAACTCTGCACTGGCTGCTGAAGATGAGGACGGAGCACGCATGGGAATGCCCCGAGTGCTGTGATATCACTTCTTAACTCAACTCAACCCACTTCACCTCTCTACAATTTCACCTCCCCACAGATCCTGGTTCCTGGTGCTCCGGAACAAATAAACAAACCACTCGCGTCATCTTAATGTGTCTCCGATCTCTGTTAATAGATATATCAAATAATAAATTGTCCTGTTGTATCATCAAAGGGCACATAGGGCCCGCAGTCTGTTCACCTATTCCGTTCTATCCCGTGCCATCAATTCAGTATCATGGAGCAAACCCAGTCCAGCACCTTTGGCTTCTCTCATCAGCGTTCGTTTTAGGGTTTCTCTGGGACGCCCTCGTTCCCCCTAATTCTTCTATTTCCCATTTCAGTGCCTGTTTATTTTCACATTTCGGGTCTATCCAAACTCAATAACTGTTTTCAGTACTTTTCAGCAAAGTAAAATACTCAAAATTGTAAAACTATAAATGATGGCCGTCTGACGTAAAAGAAAGAAGCATTAGGCCTAGAGACGGCGCAAATACCAGAACTTTAGCCTCGAAAGTGGCGCAAATAAACAAGACCACAAATATAGCCGGAGACTGTTGGTAGCTTCGGCTAGCTAGCAGCAGGTTGAAAGTGGTTGAGTTTTGATTTTTTTTTTTCCTCAAAAGGAATTTGAATTGGAACAGTGCCTGTTGTTAATGCATGAAGTTTGAAAATTAATTCGGACACAAACAAAACATTGCACGATTTATTGCCTGTCATGTTTCACTGTACCTCGCTAAATGCATAATGCAGAGTAATTGAAAAAAGGGGAAGCGAATAAACAAATCATGTCAACTAAATTACAGAAGTCCACCACACCCAAGGGTAACCAGCCTATTTTACTAGGGTGAACACAAGTTGACAGTCATGATCTTTTTGTCTACAAAAACCAACATGATTAGTTTCCCCTGTCGTATACACCTGTGTTATACTCCGGTAGTATGAACCTAGCGACTTTTGACCCCTGAGGCCCCTCCCCAACACATTTTCCCAGCCCCCCCCCCTCCCCCAAGTAATTTTATAAGAATGTTAAGTAGCCTTCAATAAAGAGGTTAAAAAAATTGCAGTTTTTATTTATACCTTTCTTATCATTTCATATGTATTCACCATTCCACACTGACTGTTATTATTATTATGCTTTTAAACTAGGATTAGATTCTCGGATCTCCCGTTTTGTTTAGCTAAGGGTCCTTTCCTTTTACTTGTTTGTTCAGATTTACAAAGATCTCTACTGTGACTTGTGTATGTTATCTTGGCAAACAGAATGGAAGCCCGAATCGCAGATATGTGTAAAGAAATCAGCTGTCAGAGTGAGAAACTCAGCAACAGTCAGGAACGACTGGAAGACCTGACCCGGAAAAACTGCACTCTGAGCGATAGGCTGCAATCTTCCAATACAAAGGTTGGCATCACTGTTTCTGGTTTTTATGTTTTTATTTTTACGTTATTCATTTGGGTTTATTGAAAAAGAAAAAAAGAAGTAAAATGCACGTAATTAACGAGTCGTCCCCACGTGGGAGGCAATTTTTCGTTATTCGATACCCCACCCTTTTGCCGGGGCCCCTGAATATAGCCAGGCCATAAATATAGCCTAAAGGCTGAAAGGGGTTTCTGGGACCTCTCCACGGATGATTCTCATCCACATGATAGCACTTTGTGTCATCGGGTGTTTATCGCTTGTGTGATGTCCTAGTGGTGTATAACAAGCAAGCAAGCAAGTCACGTGTATGGCAAAAGAGCATCAAACTATAGATACAACAGATACAAGATCACAGTTTCAAAAAAGTTCAGTATTTTAATTGCTTAAGGATCATATTTACATATGATGGCAGGATAGATAAAGAGATGAAATAAGAATCCCACAAGCTAATAGTGTCACGTATCAACTGATCCACAATTTGAAATACCCAGCTATCCCAATCGATACCAAAAGACAAATTATAAATGCAGTCTTCATACCTACCTTGTACTATCAGTGTCAAACACTGACTAAAAAACACGAAATAAAACACACCACTTGCGAAATGACATGTTTGAGAGGTTCTGAGGTTTCGAACAATGGATCAACATCATAGCACACGGGTAATAGCTAATAAGTGCTCCGTTCTTCTTCAAGTCTAAGTCCTAAGATGCCCAGCACAGTGCACAGGCTCTGTAGCACCTGCGAGGATCCTGAAATACTTTGATTATATTTTTAACTCCAAATATTTTTCCCCGGCAGCACAGTTTGGCTACTCTTTTCGATTTCCGACTTTCGATTTCGATTGCCGAGGAATTTTTTTACGTGCGCAACAATGTACACGGGCGTCCGATCTCACTACCCAGAGACCAGTGGCAGTTACTAGAAGTCTTGAGTCCACGTGATAAAATCCCTGCCCTTACCGGGGATTGAACCCGGAATCTCTAGCACTCGAGGCGGAGAAGAGATCATGTGAGAAATGAAAAAAAATTACCTAAACTTTTGGAACATCACATGTAGTTAAATTAACTGAAAAAAAAATAATTATTTGATCATTCAATGAGAATGAATCTAACGATGCCAGCAAAGAGAGAGTACATGTGAAAGTAGAAACACCAAGAGGCAGGGAACAACCAGGAAGAATATGGATTGAATAAGTAACCGAAGCTTTGAGATTCCACAACAGCACAGCATAGGGGGCAATCGAACACGGCCGACTGCTTCTGTCTTCTCGCGGAAGACTCGTAGCTCGAATACTGACTGACTGACTGACTTTCTACCCCACCAGAACATCACACAAGCGATAAACACCCGATGACACAATGTGCCACTATGTGGATGAGGATCACCGTGGAGAGGTCCCAGAAACCGCGTTCAGCTTTTAGGCCATATTTATGGCCAGGCTATATTTCGGCCACTGACAAGAGCCAGAGTAGGGCTTCAAAAAACGAAAAATTTCGTCCTAAAAAAGGGCGGGAAAAATAGCATAGCTCGAATACTGATCGTCTGTCAACCTTCGTCGCCTAGCGGCACAAACCAGAATATATACAAACGAAAGAAGATTTCAGGTTTGGGTGTGTCCGTTTTAATATTTTGGGGGGGGGGGGGGGGCGGGGGCGGGGGGGGTATTTTTATTTTGTCGGCTCTGTGGCTAAGTCGATGCGAACGCTTCGTAATGCCGGGATGCCGGGTTCGATCCTAACTGCGGGCCGTGCGCCCTGCGTTGGTTTCGACAGTGGTATCAAGAAAGCCGACCGTCCAGGAGGCAATGGCAAACTACTGGACGTAAATTTGCCTAGAACAACCATACAACAGCTAGGGGCTATTGGGGTTGGTTCTGCAACGTCCTGTAAAGGATACGCACCTAACCTTTTTATTTTACCAAGCTAAAAGTAGGTCTCCGTGGGGGAAGTGGTCTTGCCGTTTGCCTCCCGCTCTGAAGCCAGTGACTGAGATCAATAGTGCGATTTTTACGTAGATCTCCGGGGATCATCGCCGGAGTTCTACTTTGTGCGATGCTCTCGGCAGGCGGCTAAGGTGTTCTGTGGAGAGAGACCGAGCCTTATGGGATCAAACGCGGTGCAATGAAGTGGATCCTCTCGACTGTAACCTTTAATCTTTAGCTTCTGTGTGTTCTTGTTTTGGATATATCATTTTAACTTTATCAGTTTTGGTTTGCGTCTGAGTCTGTTTCCTCAAGTACAAGATGTTATCATAGGCACCGGTACCTGGGGGCTCAGAAACATTTAGCCCCTCAATAATTTAGGGGTGGGGTGATAAGGAAAAAAAAAGGAGGGGGTAAAGGAAATTGTTGGCAGCAAAGCCTCTCCACTCCCATTTTATGTAACTTTCTCTGTATAAGCATTTGTTTATACATTAAATAGTATTTCAAATATATTAGCTTGTTTCCAACCAGTACACAATAAAAATAACAATAAAAATGAAAAAATAATTATGAATATTTTTGCACAGTTAAACACGGCTTAAGCCTCCCGAGGACATCCTAGTAATTTTCTAGAGGCGCGCGGGGGAGGGGTGGGGGCTGGGGGGGGGGGTGTGGCTCAAACGTGTTTAATTGTGTGATAATAAAAATTGGCTATTATTATTATTGTTGCTTTTTACTATTATTATTATTATTATTGTTCAGAAAAGAAAAGATGAGGTCACCATAAATAGTTCTTCTTATCAGAAATTCTTCTTATCTAGATAAAACTTCAAACATGTAGTAATTCCCCGGAATAAAAAAAAAAATGTTGTTCACAACAGAAATTCCTCACCTCCCAGATTGCTTTAAGCGGACTGCAATGCATTATTAGTATTGCACAATTAAACGAGGCTTGAATCCCACCCTAGAAAAAAATTTGCTGGGAAAGATGAAAAGGAGGGGGGGGGGGGGGGGGCAGAAGCCTTATTTAATTAAAATACTAATATTATTCTAATCAAAAACACTAATAATAATAACAACAGTTATTGTTATTTATATTCAATAATATACCAATCAGTTTCTTATGTATGTCCAAAGCTTGATCAGCTTGATTCCGCTCATGGGAATTTGATTGAAGATTTTGAAGCCTATCAAGAGACACACACCTATTGCAATGATGATGTAAGATACGTGTTTTATCTTGACGAAAATCGCTCATCATACACGTCGCTTGTCATTAACTTGGCTTGTCATAAATTTATGTTGTCACAAACTCTTGTCAAAACTGTACTTTACTACTACTACCACCACCACTACTACCAGTACCACTATTACCACTACTGCTGCTACCAATACTGCTACTACCACTACTACCACCACCACCATCACTACCAACACCACCAATACTACTACCACCACCACCACCATCACTACCAACACCACCAATACTACTACCACCACCACCACCATCACTACCAACACCACCAATACTACTACCACCACCACCACCATCACTACCAACACCACCAATACTACTACCACCACCACCACCATCACTACCAACACCACCAATGCTACTACCACCACCACCACCACTACCACAACCACTACCAACATCACCAATACTACCACCACCACCACCACTACTACCACTACTACTACTACCACTACTACCACCACCACCATCACTACCAACACCACCAATGCTACTACCACCACCACCACCACTACCACAACCACTACCAACATCACCAATACTACCACCACCACCACTACTACTACCACTACCACCACCACCACCATCACTACCAACACCACCAATGCTACTACCACCACCACTACCACTACCACAACCACTACCAACACCACCAATACTACCACCACCACCACCACCACTACTACCACTACTACTACTACCACTACTACCACCACCACCATCACTACCAACACCACCACCACTACCACTACCACAACCACTACCAACACCACCAATACTACCACCACCACCACCACCACTACTACCACTACTACTACTACCACTACTACCACCACCACCACCACTACTACCACTACTACTACTACCACTACTACCACCACCACCTTCACTACCAACACCACCAATACTACTACCACCTCCACTACTACTACTACCACCACCACCAGCACCACTACTACTACTACCACCACCACCACCACTACTACTACAACAACTACAACAACAACAACAACAACTACTACTACTACTACTACTACTACTACTACTACTACTACTACTACTACTACTACTACTACTACTACTACTACTACTACTACTACTACTACTACTACTACCACCACTACTACCACCACTACTACAACTACTCCTTCTTCTTTAAAGCGTCGGGTATCGGAAGGGGTGGGGGGGGGGGCATACTGATCTGCATATTGCTCTTCTGACCGAACTGACCGTAGACACACAGAGATGTGTAAAATGTCTGTGACGCTATGTTTCCATCTGACAATAGCAAAGCTGAAGTTTAGCTGTGGGAAGAGGGGGTGTACATAGATGACCACACAGGAGTTTCATACTTTCCAATTACAGCTATGCAAATACTACACGGATTTATAGCCGAGACACATTGCTGGATTTAGGTCTGAGCTGAATAAGCTTAAACCTAGGGCCTCATAATCTGCAGGGGCATAACCCCCACCCCTAACAAATTTTATTTTCCTTAAATATATTTTTGGGTTCTTTCGTAATGTCCTACCCCAGATGACGTCACAGGACAGTCCAACATTTTAGAGGGTGGTAAGACTGGTGTAATCTGAAACTGTAGCGGTAACAAAGCTCGAACTCACTTTTCTCAGGAAAGTCTAAATCCAGCCCAGACGAGACAGTACTATAGTAATAATATGTCCTTTTGTCAGTACAATAGTCATAACGTATTCTCTTGTCAGTACAATAGTCAAAACATATTCTCTTGTCAGTACAATAATCATAACGTATTCTCTTGTCAGTACAATAGTCATAATGTATTCTCTTGTCAGTACAATAGTCATAATGTATTCTCTTGACAGTACAATAGTCATAATGTATTCTCTTGTCAGTACAATAGTCATAATGTATTCTCTTGTCAGTACAATGGTCATAATGTATTCTCTTGTCAGTACTATAGTCATAGCGTATTCTCTTGTCAGTACAATAGTCATAATGAATTCTCTTGTCCGTACAATGGTCATAATGTATTCTCTTGTCAGTACAATAGTCATAAAATATTCTCTTGTTAGTACAATAGTCATAATGTATTCTCTTGTCTGTACAATAGTCATAATGTATTCTCTTGTCAGTAGAATAGTCATAATGTATTCTCTTGTCAGTACAATAGTCATAAAATGTTCTCTTGTCAGTAAAATAGTCATAATGTATTCTCTTGTCAGTACAATAGTCATAAAATGTTCTCTTGTCAGTACAATAGTCATAATGTATTCTCTTGTCAGTACAATAGTCATAATGTATTCTCTTGTCAGTACAAAAGTCATAACATATTCTCTTGTCAGTACAATAGTCATAATGTATTCTCTTGTCAGTACAATGGTCATAATGTATTCTCTTGTCAGTACAATAGTCATAATGTATTCTCTTGTCAGTACAATAGTCATAACGTATTCTCTTGTCAGTACAATAGTCATAATGTATTTTCTTGTCAGTTCAATAGTCATAAACTGTTCTCTCGCTTCGTCTAGTATAAACAGCTGGAGAATCAATACATCATGTGCAAGGAGCGGCTTCGGGAATGCCAGTGTGTTGTAGAGGAGAAAACACAACATTTGAACGACCTCAATAACGAGCTGTTCTGTGTCAAAGAGGAACTCAGTCAAGCCTGTGAAAAGATTAAACAGTTCTCGGATGAGGTAATGTCTGTATCTTGGCTGGCTGAAAGTTTTGTTGGTATTTCAAATAGTGTTTTTTTTTTTTCAATTATTATCGAGGATTGGCTGGGGATTTTTGTGTGTCAGGGGTAAAATAAAATTCTCGTGGCGACAGCACTAGCCATGCAGCCTTAAATTCTCAGGCTCAAAGACCCCCTGGATCAACCGCAAAAGTGGTATAATAAAGGCAACTCCTCCCTCCCTCTTTAGACACTCAGTGTACGCTGTTTGTGGGCGTCTACTCCGTCCATTTCCTAGTTATATTGAACCCGTTCTTGGCTCCCCGTCCGTGCGTTGGTGATAAACACGCCAGTACCTGTCCTTGACATCCTTTTGAAGGAAGTTTTTCGCCAGGGACACAGATGAGTATCATTTATTTTGTACATTAGTCCCATGTAGTCACTTCATAGTTAGAGCATATTTGTGTATGTGTACTGTATTGTTCTTTATGTGCTGATGAAGGCTAATCGCCGCAGCGTCCTTGGTTTGTTTATTGTGATCGATTTTGTAAAGCTAACATAAACTGTTTGTTTTTTCTTACCAACTTTTTCTCTTCCCTATAATTTCCTAACCCTTTAAAGGCAGTAATTTGCAGTTTTTTTTTTTAGCTATCACAAACAACACCTTGTTACGCTGAAACTTCAGTAGTGAATGTATTATAAGATGTGGTTATTTCGATCGTAAAAGCTTTGTGAGTCCCTGTAATTTCCGTAATATCCTAAGTGTTTTCTTAACTTGATGACATCATGTGTTGGTTTTAGAAAGATAACTTTGCTTTTCTAAAACTCCAGTAAAAGACAGAACAAGGAATCTGTTGTTTTGGCTTTTTCGGTGGAAAGGATTATGTTTTGTTTCTGCTACATTATATGCTCATGTATTGTATGTAATATACAGCCGGATGAGAGTCATGGACCATCCTACTGTCCTTAAGGAAGAAAAAAGGGTGATATAACATACACAGATGGGTAAGTAATGAGAGGTATGAAGGGTGGGTGGGGTTTGATTGCAAAAGTGAATGGACACACCTTGAATTCAGAGTGCCTCGTGTACAACGTCACTACATCGAGTATGATAATAGAGGTAGAGGCAGTAACACCCACAGGTCGAGAACTGCTGCTACAATTCATTGACAATGGTGTCGGTGCGATCCCGCTGCCTCTTCTTCTTCTTTCTGTATCTTCGAGTGCTAGTCGATACATTTCAATGTTTTTTCATACCCTTATTTTCTGTACAGGTCGGTTGCTTGAGTGAGAAACACAGGCAGTCTGAAGCTGACTTACGAGTGTTGGATCAGGACAACAGTTTCCTTAAGAAAGATCTTCTAGATGCCGACAAGAAACTGCAGTGTTCTGAACACGAGCTGAATATGAAGGACGGAGAGCTGTCTCGACGTAAGGAAGAGGTTAGGAGTACCCGATTCATAGATTGCATTCTCATCCTCACTCACCAGGTCCTTCTACAGCCCTATATGTTTTCATAGCGAATGCATCTTTGATGCTTTGTATCTACCTACGCTATAGAAAGATTCTCAGAATATCTTGGACAAAGAAGAGGAGAAATACTGACGTCTTGAAAGATCTGAAAATCATTATCCTGGCTCGGAAGCTGAACTATTTTGGTCATGAAGCGCCACGACGGAATTAAAACAAAAATAATAGCAGAAGGCATGGTATCAGTCAGGAGGGGCAGGGGCCGACCAACACGAAGATGGGCACAGGATATAAGTGACTCCTTGAGTGTGAAAGTGCATGAGGCGGGGTAACTGGCGAGAGACTGAGTTTCTTTCAGGCAGACCGTGATGAGAGCGACGTTCTGCAAAGGACCTGCTACATGATGATGAATATGATTTACCTATACAGCGGTCTGACTGTCGTGTTTTCCGGAAACTACGCTCCATCCCCGCTCTCTCCAGGCTACCATCACGTTTAACATGACCAAAAACCCATAGTTTTCGGGATAGGATGCTGTTTATGAGGCAATTCTCCGTAATGTTCAGCACATGTGGGATGGTACTGTGGTACCCACCACAGATAAAAAGAAAAAAAAAAATAGGAGTAGGTCAGAGATGTGTGTTATCCCCAAGCCTTTTTAACTGATATTCAGAAAATGTTTTGTTTTTTAACTGGATAATTCCGTGAACTGAGTATGAACGGAAGGATAATTAACAGTCTGAGTCACATTGTAACTAGCAGAAATTGAGTGAAACTGAAACAAGCTAGAACTGCACACTGAGCGATTAACACCCTGTGACGCAAAGTGCGGTGCGTCATTAC